AAAAAAAAAAAAAAAAAAAAAAAAAAAAAAAAAAAAAAAAAAAAAAAAAAAAAAAACACTTGCAAAGAGATGGAGGGAGAGTTGAGCTCACCAGGTATTAACCAATCCATATCCACCATGTAATTTGACAGGACGGCAAAGAGAATGTCTCCCTGAGAAATAAAAACCAAATTTTCAATGCAAACTAAAATTACCTATATAGAATATACACATCAAACTGAAAAACAATTTCACAACAGGGAATAGAACAAAATAGAGTATATGAAACTTAACAAAATATAATAATTAATTCAGTTGCACAGTAGCTGCCATTTGTGAGAAAACTCAATCAATAAAAGGAAGATTAAAAATGCCTCTAACTACCTGTATAACATCACTAATCCTCACACATGATGTATTAGCCCATGGTGGCAGGCCTTTAACACTCAAAAGTCTGAAAGTCATGGGCAATTTGTCGTCGGGAACATGAAAATTGCGAATGGCCTCCACGCTATTATCTTTCTTCGACTGCGAGATCCCAGTTTGTTGATTCTCCAAAGGGCCTCCCATTTCAACTCTCTACACGAGTGTATAGCGACATCAAAAAAGAAGGGAAGATGAAGAATCTTCAATTCCCCAACGATCCAAATTGAAAATTCCATAGGGTGACTGAAAATTATAATACATAGAAAAGAAAACAATCAATTAAAGCAAAAATTAACAACTTTTTGACAATACTTTAGCCTTTCCCTCAGAAATTTGATCGTCCACAAGTTGTCGAACTCTCTTCTGTCCCAAATCCTCAGAATCGGGCCTTGTATTGGGACAATGAGCTGCATACTTGAAAAGATAATGGCCGGGAATCAATTCTATAACCTCCCCGTCCCGAAGTATCACACTTTCACGAGGACCAAGTTTCTTTCTACCATCACCAGAATTAATAACAACTGGATTTGCACCTTCCTACAATTAGAACAAATAAATCTTCACGCGATTACGCCATATGCAAACCTACATCAAATTATATCAACAAAACTTGGTATCAGGTGAGGGAAGTTGTAGGCTACCACAAATAGTTTAGCAGAACCGTCAGTGGAGGTGGTAAGAGTGATATGCTTGCGGCTGATCCTCTTATCAGAAACGAGAACGTTGCTACGGCCGATGATATTTGGGCCCTGAGAGAGGGGTATCTTTAGCTCCGAATTGCCTTCCTCTAGATTTTTATCAAGTGGAACCAAATACCCAACCTTCTTCCCGGAGAAGAACATAGAAAAGTAATTAGAGAAAACAAATAACAGGAAATAATAATAGTAAATAAGCCCAGTGTAAGCTGAGAAGTCTGGACCTGGAGGCGAGCCATTGCCGAGAAGGGAGACCGTTTTAGAGTGAGAGGAGAAGGGCTTGATGAAGGCAAAGGTGAAATAAGCTGATGATGGCGATGCTTTAAGGAGAGGGGCCAGAACGGAGAAGGGGAATACTGCAAAATCTGTGGGAATGGCGATGAAAATGGGGGGTTTGGCCGGCGTGGAAACCCGATGAATGACGGAATTTGTTGTTAGTGCTGAAGCGGTCGACGGACTGAATACATCCGGCCGTGGACAGACTCTCACTCAAACGCACCGTCTTGGCCCTGGTCCTATTTTTCGCTAAATTAATTAATAAAAAATACAGTTCATTCTCTATTTTGCCTTAAAAAAAATATGATTGAATTTCAAAAGTCGTTATCTTTATTTTGTTAAATACTTTCAATTTTCAAGAGGAAGCATTTTAAAAAACTAAAAAAACACTTATAAATTTTTTCTTAACAATTAAAATATACATTTTAGTATTAAATTCTTTAAAAAATCTTATGAACTTTTAATAATAAGGACAAAAAAAAAAATCATAAAAATGGAAGGTATTAATAAAAAAATTTAAAATTTAAGAGTATTTATAAGTAATAATTTTCCAACAATAATAATTTTCCTAAAAAATTAACTATAATTTTCTTTTTCAGATTTTTTTTTTGAGAACCTTTTTAAGATATTATTAAAACTGTGAAAGTTGGAATGTTTATGCTTATTTATTTAGAGAATAACTTTCAGGAGTATTTTTTTATTATTATATTTTTCAAAATATCATGGAAGTATTCATTTTTATTCGCCCAATTTCAGTCTCCATCTTTTTTAACCTATACAATATGAATAATACAATATTTACCGCTCAAAAGTGTAAATAGATTTGAAAACATTATTACTCAATAAAAAAATAGAAAGTTAAGAATAAAAAAAAATAGAATTAAGATCAAAAGTTCAATCTTCAATATTCTCAACGTCTAAATACGATACAAGATAACAATTAATACTTATCCATAAGAAAAATATAAACTAACTAAATAACAAAATAAAATATAGTACCAATCATAAAGAGAAGAATATTAATTTGATTACTAATATCTAAAATATATTATATAATTAATATTACACGTGGTATAGATTTTCATTTGAAAACTATCATAAAAATATTCATGCATGTAATATAATAAAACAATGTCAATCATATGTTGTGATATACACATATATACTATACATTTACCACGATAAGTTACACAGCAGTTTGAGCAGTTGACCTCCATCACTCCAACTCGCTTTCTCCTTCCTTCAGCAGCTCACGTGAAAACGTCAAGTATATCAGCAACACAGTTCCCACGCACGACCTGCACCCATTCCTAACTATTTCACCCCTCAATTCATAGCTTTTTATTTTTTTAAGATTTATTGCTGTGGGGTTTTCTTTTGTTTGTTTGTTCTTGAGATAAATCCAAAATAAGAATTGACGCTCTGTTTTTTTCTTCTTGTGTTTTGTTAATGAGTTGATACTGTGTCAAATCTCCATAAATAGTACGTTAAAAAAACAAAACGAAACAAACGTGCTTACAGTGTGGCGCACAACAAAAAAACCATCCTGGGGTCCAAGTACCAGCGCCAAGATTGTGGACACCGCTTCAAGCTGTTTCTTCTGAAGTTCGCCCTTCCACTGCCGGCGTTGCCACCACCACCACCACCACCCACTTCCTCGCCCATCCCCACCACTTGCTTTTCCACCGTGCTCGACCCTCCTCCTACCACACCCCCTGCTTTTACTTTAACATAAACAACACCCGACAATTTTTCATGGGGGAATTTCAAAAAAAGCAAAAGAAAAAAATGTGAATCCTGTTTTGGTTGTGGTTGGTTTATGAGAGATTCAATTAAAAAATAGCTTCAAATGTTCATGTCCGTTTTTGTGTGCTGTTGAAACTTGCTAGTGTTGTGCACGTGCATTCGAAGCTGGTGCTTTAATTTACTTTACCTAATGGGGAGATGGAGTCCCCTCCTGTGTCATCGCCATCACCATGACCTTGGCCCATCTTTCCGCCACGTAACATTCCTTTTCTGCTAAAATTCCTCTGCAAATTTCCATAAACAAACAATCCACCGTCACCTAAACCACTTCTTTTTTTTTTCTTTCCGTTTTTCTAGGAAACACAAAAAGAAAAACATAACAGATGGATCAAAGACTAATTTAGAGAATGATAACACATTTCTAATGAAGGAATACTATCTCTATAAGATAAGTTTTTGAAAAAATCAAAATCGCAAACAAAATATCATACCAATGTGTAGAGGTAGAGTAATCTAACGAGGAAAAGAATTACAAAAACAACTTACTATAATTCTAAAATTCGGAGAAATTTCGTTGCTGCTACTGTTGGCAAAACTGTCCATATCGATGATGAAGCTATCGAGTTTTGTTTTGTACTGAAATCTGTTTGTTTGATCGGCAACCACTGCTTCTTCTGGACCATTCTCTTCGTCACAAGTTATCACCTGAGCCAAACAATCAAAAAACACGATTCAATTTACAAGCAGTTAAAGTAAACACTAAACTCACAGACTTCTGCAGGAACTCAAAAAATGCAATGGAACAGTTCGAAACCGAAAATTAGTTTAGAAAAAACAAGAAATATGCTTACCGACTTTGGATTCTCCGCCAATTCCATTGAACAAAGAATAAGAATCAGAAAAGGAAGATGAATTGAATTTATAGTAACAGGTTCGAGAAAAACAGAGTGAACAAAGAACTCAAGAATTGAGAGGGAAATGAAATTAATCCGATAAACAACGCGGAATCGTTCTTCGTCTATCTTCTTCGTTTCTCTCCCTGTAATCTACTACAAACTACAAACCAACGAAGACGCAGAGATAACACTACGAATCCACATCTGATTGATATCGATTTTGATTTCCACTGTGATTTTCTGCAACTTGCAGATGAAGACGAATCTATTTAATCTCGGAGGAAACAAACCAGGAAGAAGCGTCGATGAGAAACTGAAGAAAAGGGAAACAGAATGAATCGGGAAATTTGAAGCGTTCGGCGTTTGCCATTTGTCTCTAATTTATTTGATAAAAATTAACTTCAAATCTCATTTTTGTAATTTCATATTCCTTTTTATTTATTGTTTTACCATAATTACTATTACTGTTTAATTATATTATATAACCGTCTAAAAATGATTTCTATTAAAATAAAAAAAATAAATAAAAAAATGTAAAATGAGGTAAGGTTAGGAGAAATACGAAGCATATGGAATGATCGGTATTAATTCTCCTTTCTTTATTTAGTTTATATCATAAGATTGGAGATATAAAAAAAACAATATTTTTAATTAAAAATAGAAAACAATAAATAAAATATAGTTATAAAGTATGGCTCTACCATTTGTCTCTCACATAGTAATGAAACTTACTCTTTTTTTGTTTTTATTTTATTTTTATCCATACATCCTTCAATTTTTTATTTATTAATTTGCTCATCAATAAATTATTTATTAATAATTCATTGCATCTCTATCTTTCTCCTCACCTCTAACTTTTCACCACTATAATATCGAGTGTCGTGGGAAAAAGAGATAGAGAAAGAGGGGGCGTCGAGGCGGGATGAGATTATTCGAATTAGAGTCTCGTGGTATCCTCGAGGAGGTGATGGAAACCAGATAAAGAATAAAAAAATAAAATAATTGTTAAGGATATATGGTACATCAAATTTGAATGAACATGGAGCTTGGATCTGAAAAATTTAGTTGAAAAACACTTTCTTGGCTATTGAAAACTATGGAGAGATCGTTGCTCAACGGAAATGTTGCCTTGGCTTCGGCGAGAATAAGTCTAACCCATGAAGAGAAATCGTCGCTTAGTGACAATGCTGTTTTAGCTCCAATGATAATATTTCTAACTCAAGAAGTAGAAGGGAGAAACCTAAAGCAAGGGAAATAGACAATGTTGAAGCTGGAAGAATCGTTATAGTGGGCGAAGGAGCCAATTTTGGCGAGAAGGGTGGCGGCGACTTGGTTGGTGAAGAGGCCAGTGCAGCACCCAGATTCCAAAAGTAGATCGATGGACTTATCTAGATTCCGTATATTTTTTAAAAAATGCTGATGAGGATGAAGAGTTGATTGAGAAGAAAATGAGAGAGGCTATGTTGGCTAATGAAAAAACTGATTGTGTTGGAAAAAGGTGAGGTTGTATATACAAAATATGAGGAAAGGTGATTTGAGGGTCAATAGAGTGGAGCCGAAGAGTAATCAATAGGCTATTCCTGCAGCAGCCATGGCGACTGCTCTTACGTCATCAAAGCAGTGGTGATGGAGAAGAATAGTAGAAGATTTAGAAGCCATTGAAAAGAAAGGATCGAAATTGTTAAACCGAAAGGACTATGATACTATGTGAATGTTTGCTTAATCCACTCCACCTAAATGCTACGAAGATTATCTATTTATAATCAAATAAATATATAAAAATAAATATATAATACAAAGTTTGGAAGTTGATTTGTCCTGATATGATAATATACCCATAATTTAATTTTTGATTAAGCAATTATTATGGAGAAAAATTAGAGAGGGTAGCTCCGCCTTGAATATACGGTGGTTCCGATGAATTACGACGTCGGGGTTTGATATAAGCAACCATTTCAAAATGTGGATGCAGGAATGGGTTTCTACTATCGTTTCCCAAATAGAAGTGAAGAGGAAGCTATGCCATAACCCTGCCGTTGCCGCTGCCGCTGCCGCTACCTCCGCCGCCATAGACATCTTTTACCGTTTTTTCTAGAATGGGTTGAGAATTTGAATGGTCCACTGGGGATTTGTTCACACGACACCATCTTTTCCATGTTGACAGGTCTGCCTTCATTTTTTAAAAAAATTGTTTGACGGAGTAGACAGCGCTACAAGATAATAACATAATGGTCAGAAATCGACATACCTCTGGTCTCTTTGACATCAATCTTATATTTTAATTATTTTAATTATTTTAATTAGGTAACGTGGGATTATAATGTTTCTTAATCCAATTACCTAAAAGATAAAATTTGAGAAGATCGCCGTCTTTTCGCCCAACAAAATAGTTGTTTAGCGAATGACTCCACTTATTAAATTGTTTCAAATTTCATTCCAAAATAGAAGACTAAATTGTTATTCCCTCGTTAGCAATGAGCTTGGATCGTTACAAATGGTATTAGAGCTAGACACCAAACAGTGTTAGTGAAGATGTTGTGCCCTAAAAGTGGATTGTGTGATCTTAGATTGGTTGGAAAGAGAAACAAAATGAAAATTGCACTTTAAAATTGTGAGGGTCAAACGCTTACAATATCTTCTAGCGGTGGACTTAGACTATTTCAAATGGTATCAAAGCCAGACATCGAGCAATATGCCAGCTAGAATGTTGGGGTTCTAAGGAGGGTGGATTCTGAGATCTCATATATTGATTGGTGAGAACGCTGGCCCCTGATTGCGAGATCGAGCGATGTGCCAACTAGAATATTAGCCCCAATGGAGTGAATTGTGAGATCTCATATTGAAGGACAAAAACGTTGACTTCGAAAGGAGTGGAATTGCAAGACCGAGTGGTGTAACAACTCAAACGTTGATCCGTGGGATCGGCTAATAATGGTGTGGAAATAACAATGTTAAACACAGCTAGGCAGGCACACCTAACGGAATAAAAAATTGAAATTGAAGAATAATTTGGTGAATTGGCAAAATGGTCAAGAAAAGTGGGCCGTCGGAAGAGAAGTCCAGTGAAACTCGCACATATATCCTTTTCGCTACGCAATTCGAGTCCGGCTAACGTGGATAAGTCTCCCATCACCTTCTCTCGCACATTATATAAATAATTTATACAACTTTTAATTCAATTGTTGAATCAGCCGCCTTGGCTGACATACCATAATTATAACCCATTCAACCCTACCAACTGGTCAAGAAGCCCATACATTAGCCCTCTCGTTTAAACCCTTACCCCAATAATGCTTATTTTTCCACTCCAATAATTCAATTCTCTAATATACAATTGTTCAACTAATTGATAAATGTAAGCAATTGGGTTAAAAATTAGAGGACTAAACTGTGGTTGAATTTTGTAATGAGGCATGGTTTTGTACGCAACCAGCCGATCAAGGTGCGCAGGTTGACAGATAAAGTGGGCGGCCTTCGAGAAGTGGGCAGCGACGATGACGCTTCCTTCCTCCTCCTTGCTTAATGCCTCTCACCAATATTGACTCCCACGGCAATGAGGGGTTTTTAGATCGCTCTAACACTAGCTTCTCTCAAGAACTCTGTTTACAGACCGAGGAGAAAGAGATGGGAACCCCAAAATACCTTCTCTTCTTTTGCTTCATTCTCATGTTCTTCGTTTCTGTCACCATTTCTCAAATGGAAATCAAGGCCCACTCATGTTCAAACACCGGCAACTACACCACCAACAGCACTTACAAGCAAAATCTCGATACCCTTCTTTCCTCCATCGCCTCCAACACCCAAATAGATTATGGGTTTTACAATTTCTCAGCTGGAGAGCAACCCGACAGGGTGAACGCTATTGCCCTTTGTCTGGCTGATCTGACGGTGGAAAAATGCAGGAGCTGTCTCGTGACTTCGACTCGAAGGATTCTACAGGATTGTCCAAACCAGAAGGAGGCTATCGGATGGTACACCGATTGCATGATTCGTTACTCAAATACATCCATATTTCGCATTGGGAATGATAGAGTGATTGGCCCAGCTTTTGTTTCGGGTCAGAAAGCTTCAGATATAGATGGCTTCAATCAAGCACTCAGCAGCTTGTTACAAACACTCAGAAACCGGGCTGCGTCTGGGGATTCTACACACAAATTCGCTGTGGGGGAAATTGCAGCACCCAATTTGGACAACATATTTGGGTTTCTTCAGTGTACGCCCGATTTGTCTGCTGTGGATTGCAATAATTGTCTTATGAAGGCCACTGAAAGAGTTCCAAATGGAAGTACGGGAACGAGGATATTTTCGACGAGCTGTTTTTTGAGATACGAGACTAATGATATTTTCTACAACACTCTGCCGCCGCCGCCGGCTGCTGGTTCTGCTCCTTCCCCACCCGTGTCGCCTCCGCCTCCAACGCCAGGTATCGTTGTTCACATGCTCAAAGACCTTTTCTTTTTGGTGGGTTCTTCCTGAATTTACAGTCAACGAAATCACAACTACGTATTAGCAGATGGGTTTGTGGAAACTCGTTAGATAAACGCTAACATAGCCTCCGATCTAAATTTCTTTTGTAGGAAATTCTGGTAGAACTATTATTATCGTTGTGGTGTCCATCGTTTCTGTCCTCATTCTCGTTGTTGCCATTTTCATCATTTTGAGGCTGAGGAAGCGGAAGATCAAAAGAACAGCCGACAAATTGGAAGGTGAGTGGTTTATGAATCCTCTGTTTTCTTAGATGGGCAGTGTTTTTGTCGATCGTGTAGTTCTTGAGAATCGAGGTTCATTTCCTAATCTACGTTCAGGTATTCATATTGGGGATACCACCGACGAAATTAGCAGTGTGGAGACAATTCAATTCGATTTTGAAACCATCAAAGTTGCAACAAACGATTTCTCAAGTGAAAACAAGCTCGGACAGGGTGGATTCGGAGCCGTTTACAAGGGTAAGCTAAGCAATGGACAACGTATAGCAGTGAAGAGACTTGCAAATAATTCACAACAAGGAGATGTTGAGTTCAAAAATGAAGTCCTTTTGGTGGTTAAGCTTCAACATCGGAACTTGGTAAGGCTGCTGGGATTTTGCTTGCAAAGAACTGAAAGACTTCTCATATATGAGTTTGTTCCAAATGCCAGCCTTGATCAGTTCATATTTGGTATACTCACTTTCTACCTTCTTCTTCTTCTTCCTTTCACTTTATGCATCACATTGGAAAAGTCTATCTGTTCATATGATTGACACAATCTACTTTTATATATATTGATGACTATGTAGATGTTGAAAAAAGGAAGTTATTAGATTGGGAAAGACGATCCAAAATCATAAATGGTATTGCACGAGGACTTCTTTACCTTCATGAAGATTCTCGCCTTCGAATCATACACCGTGACCTTAAAGCTAGTAATATTTTGTTGGATGAAGAAATGAATCCAAAGATTGCTGATTTTGGTATGGCTAGATTGTTCGAAGTAGATGAGACTCAAGGCAATACAAGTAGAATTGTGGGAACATAGTAAGTAGAAATACAAATTCGTTTCATTTTTACTTATAATATATATGAGCACGTTTTTATTCTATTGTCATTATTTTTGCAGTGGGTATATGGCTCCGGAGTATTTGATGCACGGCCAATTTTCAGTAAAATCAGACGTCTTTAGCTTCGGCGTTTTGATTCTTGAAATCGTGAGTGGAAGGAAAAACAATTGCTTTCGTAATGGAGAAAAGATAGAAGATCTGTCGAGCTTTGTAAGTATTTCATAATCTTATTTTCTCCTTGTAACCCTTATGAGTATCCGATCAATACTGAATGGCTGATTGGTATTTGTGATTGTTCATAGGCATGGAAAAATTGGAAGGCTGGAACGAGTAAAAATGTGATAGATTCAACACTGAGGGTTGGTTCAAGTGTCGAGATGTTGAGATATATTCACATTGGATTATTGTGTGTTCAAGAGAACGCAGCGGATCGTCCCACGATGGCATCAGTAGTTTTGATGCTCTGTAGCTTCTCTCTCACTCTCCCTGTACCATCGGAACCAGCATTCTTCATGCATAGCAGCATTATTGACGAATCCAGCACACAATCGAAGGCAAGCCGATGGTTGGAAATGAATGAAGCCACCCATTCTGAAAGCCTACCCCTCCAATCTTTATCCAATGAAGCTTCACTCAACCAGCTCCCCCCTCGTTAGATCTTCTCGAACCTCCGACCTCTTTGTCGATTGTATTTACATTATGGCAATTAAGTTATATTCATGTTAGGTGAAATAGTGTATAGTATGTTTGATTTTTAATTTTTTTTTTATAACCCGCTCTTTTGGGAGGACTAATTTAGGGAATGATCATAGATTTTTAAGTAAGAAATACATCTCCATACCATAATATGATGCATTTTTGGGAAGCCCAAAACAAAGCCATGAGAACTTATGCTTAAAGTGGATAATATTGTACCATTATGAAGATTTGTGATTCCTAACAGCTTCGTCTATGAGAATCCTTGGCCGGTGAATTGGCGGCTCCAAGTCCCAATTTCACGGGTAGTTTTACTGTTATCCTACAAATGAATTTGATGTTCATGTCTTAATCTACTATTACATGGTATGAAATGAACTAAAGAGTTGCAATCAAGGAGTAAGCTACTTAATGGACAACATATTGTAGTGAAGAGGCTTGCACATAATTCACAACAAGGGGATGCTGAATTCAAAAATGAAGTACGGTTGAGAGAGAAGTCGTATATTAGCTAAAAGGAGAAGATCATGAGTTTATAAGTAAGAAATATTATCTCTGTTCGTACTAAACATTTTGAAAAAATCAAAAGTAAAGTCATGAGAGCTAATGATCAATATCATACTCTGTGAAAAGTTGTGATTCCTAACATTTCCTTTCAATGGTCAAGCTTCACCATTGAAAGTTGGGATCGGTTACTCGATTTTTACTTATCCACATTAATACTAAATATTCTTATTATATTCTAATAAATATTTAAAAAAAAAAAAAAAAAAAACTAGATGTAAATAAATATAAATAGTAAATATTTCAACTTATCCAAATTTGAATAAATAATATAAATAATAAATATTTCCTTCCACGTCTACATTTATTTTATTAATCAAGGTATGACTAAAGATCCATTGAATATACAATATATAATATCTTTTAGACTAACTTTAAATAAGTTAACTTAATCCGTAGTTAACTCTCAATAATATCATTAAATTATAAATTCAATCATACAAATTATTAACTTACTTTAATTAATTAATTTACGATTATGACTATTCTAATAAATGACAGGAGGAGAATAATATCAAATTTATATATAATGAATGGTGGGTCCGCCCTGCTTCTAAATCATTGAACCCCACTAAAGTTTTAAGGAATTATATGATCATAGTCTACAAGATATTGGGGATGTTTACAATTTATGAATTATATAATGTTCCCTAGGAATTACGATTAAAATGTTATAAAATTAACAGCGTCCGGATATATAATAATTTCATGTTTATTAAATTTAAATGGAATCAATTTCCAGAGCAGGAGGATGATGAAATTAGAGAAGGGCATCTTCATCTTCAATTTCAAAACGATTTTGTTCATCTCCTTCATGTTTCCGACAATTTCTCAGCCGGAATTTTTGTTCCACACTTGTTCAGACAAAGCCAATTACACCGCCGGCAGCCCTTTCAAGAGAAATCTGGACGCCGTACTTGCCTCTATTTCCTCCAATACCCAAGTTGATTACGGTTTCTACAACGCCACCTCCGGTGAAGATCCCGACAGAGCTACCGGTTTGGCTCTTTGTCGTGGTGGTGTTGCGTTGGAGCAATGTCGAAGCTGTGTGAAGGACTCAACGCGTAGGATTTCTGAAAGTTGCCCAAATCAGAAAGAGGCAGAGGGATGGTACGAGGATTGTCAAATTCGTTACTCGAATAACGCTATTTACGGCGTTGGAGACAGCAACGTGAAGATGTTGTTTTGGAACACTCAAAGAGCGGAAGACCCGGATGGGTTCAATGAGGCACTCAGGAGTTTGTTCGATCTGCTGCAGAGGGTGGCTGCGTCGGGGAGTTCTATTCACAAGTCTGCTGGGGGCGACCAGAAGGTTCCATTTCCCAGCACGTATACCATATATGGCTTGGTCGATTGTTTTCCGGATTTGTCTTATTTGGACTGTTTTAACTGTCTCGATCAACTTCAAGCATCGTTTTTTAGTTGTTGCAACGGCAGCTTAGGTGCCAGACTAATTGCCACTAGCTGTCAACTCAATTTTGAAATCCACCCCATCTATATCTCGCTTTTGTCTCCGCCTCCGCCGCCTCCGCCGCCTCTGCCATCGCCATCTCCGCCTCCAAAACCCGGTATCATTTGTGGGAGAACAAATTGACGTCACTATTTAATCCAAAAGCTTATACCATATTATTTAGCTTTTTGGTCTTTTTTTTGTTTTATCGTCAGGAAATGATGGCAATACTGGTAGAGCTGTTGTAACCATTGGGGTGGCCATCGTTTCTGCTATCACTCTCGTGGTTACCATTTTCATCGTTTTCAGATTGAGGAAGAGAAAGAACAAAAGAGCATTACACAATTTCGGAGGTATGGATCCTCTGTTTAGATGCTTTGGTTGTGAAGTTTTTTGTTTATGTTGATGTTGATGTGCTAATAATCTAGGCTTAGGTGCATCTTTTGGAGACACCGGTGATGAAATGAGCATTGTGGAGATGATTCAATTTGATTTTGGAAGCATTAAAGATGCAACGAATGACTTCGCAAGTGAAAACAAACTCGGACAAGGTGGATTCGGGGTTGTTTACAAGGTATGAAATGAATTTGGGGAAATGATTAGGAGTAAAGTGATACTCAAACTACAAACTTAGCTACTGATATTATCAGGGTAAGCTGCCAAACGGACAGCATATAGCAGTGAAGAGGCTTGCACATAATTCACAACAGGGGGATGCTGAATTCAAAAATGAAGTCCTTTTGGTGGTCAAGCTTCAACATCGGAACTTGGTTAGGCTACTTGGATTCTGTTTGCAAGGAAGCGAAAGGCTTCTTATATATGAGTTTGTCCCTAATGGCAGCCTTGACAACTTCATATTTGGTGTGACATTGTTTCCTTTTGTGTTGGGTCCTACTCTTGTTGGAAAGTACCATCCTTTCTTCTAATTGCAAAAAACATTTACATGTAGATTTAGGAAAGCAGACACGGTTAGATTGGGAAAGACGATACAGAATCATAAATGGCATTGCACGAGCACTTCTTTACCTCCATGAAGATTCTCGTCATCGAATCATACACCGTGATCTCAAAGCTAGTAATATTTTGTTGGACGAGGAAATGAATCCAAAGATTGCTGATTTTGGTATGACAAGATTGTTCGAAGTTGACCAGACTCATGTCAATACAAGCAGAATTGTGGGAACTTAGTAAGTCCAAGCTCGTTTATTTTCATTTTTACAATATTTTTAACAATTTAATATTATCAATCTAATTTATTGGATTATTATTTTTTTTTTTGCAGTGGCTATATGGCTACAGAGTACGTAATACACGGACAATTCTCTGTAAAATCTGATGTGTTCAGCTTTGGTGTTTTGGTTCTTGAGATTTTAAGCGGTAAGAAGAACAATTATTTTCACGAGGGAGAGCATTTCGAAGATCTCACAAGCTTTGTAAGTGTATGATTTTAAATCTCTATGCATGAAAATGCTTCAAGCAGCTAACAACGGTATATGAATTTTCTTATAGGTATGGACAAGTTGGAGGGCAGGAACAACTACAAGTATCATAGATTCAACCCTTAGCGTTGGTTCAAGAATTGAGATGATAAGATGCATTCACATTGGACTATTATGTGTTCAAGAAAATGTAAGCAAACGACCAACAATGGGATCAGTGGTTATGATGCTAGGTAGCTCTTCTCTCACTCTCCCAATACCCTCTCAACCAGCATTCTTCCTACATAGTGCTACTAATGAATCCGACACCAATGGAACTGATTGTGAATCCGTATCCGTTCAACTTTCGAGGAATGAAATTTCAATTACAGAGTTCCATCCTCGTTAGATCATCATCACCCACCTATATTATTCCCTTCCTTCAAAGAGTTTACAAAAAAGTTACTAATTATTTTCGTGCAATATCTCTAGTTAAGGATATTTAGTCCAAATTTATGGGTTATCATATATATCATATTTGACGCAAATATTGAGTATGTTTAGTCTTCCATTACACAAATACCATATTTAACTATTTATTATGGACAAATATCTAAATATTTATTTTCTTATCGTATGTATTATATTTATACTCTTATTATAATCAAATATCTTGTAATTTATTTGATCGTGTAAACCAGTTAAATTCTTTTTCTATGGTCAATTTAATCATTTAGAAAATAGAAAAAGGCCTCTCACGCGGCTGTGGCTGAAGACCGACTTTACTAACGTTTACAACACTCAGAAGTTCAGCAACTTTACGTTAAAAATGGAATGCATTTTGAGAGAAGGACAATCAAATTAGAGATGGGTAGTTTCAAAACCCTTTTGTTCCTCTCCTTCATTCTCATGTTCTTCGTTTCTGTCACCATTTCTCAAATGGAAATCAAGGCCCACTCATGTTCAAACACCGGCAACTACACCACCAACAGCACTTACAAGCAAAATCTCGATACCCTTCTTTCCTCCATCGCCTCCAACACCCAAATAGATTATGGGTTTTACAATTTCTCAGCTGGAGAGCAACCCGATAGGGTGAACGCTATTGCCCTTTGTCTGGCTGATCTGACGGTGGAAAAATGCAGGAGCTGTCTCGTGACTTCGGCTCGAAGGATTCTACAGGATTGTCCAAACCAGAAGGAGGCTATCGGATGGTACACCGATTGCATGATTCGTTACTCAAATACATCCATATTTCGCATTGGGAATGATCGAGTGATTGGCCCAGCTTTTGTTTCGGGTCAGAAAGCTTCAGATATAGATGGCTTCAATCAAGCACTCAGCAGCTTGTTACAAACACTCAGAAACCGGGCTGCGTCTGGGGATTCTACACACAAATTCGCTGTGGGGGAAATTGCAGCACCCAATTTGGACAACATATTTGGGTTTCTTCAGTGTACGCCCGATTTGTCTGCTGTGGATTGCAATAATTGTCTTATGAAGGCCACTGAAAGAGTTCCAAATGGAAGTACGGGAACGAGGATATTTTCGACGAGCTGTTTTTTGAGATACGAGACTAATGATATTTTCTACAACACTCTGCCGCCGCCGCCGGCTGCTGGTTCTGCTCCTTCCCCACCCGTGTCGCCTCCGCCTCCAACGCCAGGTATCGTTGTTCACATGCTCAAAGACCTTTTCTTTTTGGTGGGTTCTTCCTGAATTTACAGTCGACGAAATCACAACTACGTATTAGCAGATGGGTTTGTGGAAGCTCGTTAATAAACGCTAACATAGCCTCCGATCTAAATTTCTTTTGTAGGAAATTCTGGTAGAACTATTATTATCGTTGTGGTGTCCATCGTTTCTGTCCTCATTCTCGTTGTTGCCATTTTCATCATTTGGAGGCTGAGGAAGCGGAAGATCAAAAGAACAGCCGACAAATTGGAAGGTGAGTGGTTTATGAATCCTCTGTTTTCTTAGATGGGCAGTGTTTTTGTTGATCGTGTAGTTCTTGAGAATTGAGGTTCATTTCCTAATCTACGTTCAGGTATTCATATTGGGGATACCACCGACGAAATTAGCAGTGTGGAGACAATTCAATTCGATTTTGAAACCATCAAAGTTGCAACAAACGATTTCTCAAGTGAAAACAAGCTCGGACAGGGTGGATTCGGAGCCGTTTACAAGGGTAAGCTAAGCAATGGACAACGTATAGCAGTGAAGAGACTTGCAAATAATTCACAACAAGGAGATGTTGAGTTCAAAAATGAAGTCCTTTTGGTGGTTAAGCTTCAACATCGGAACTTGGTTAGGCTGCTGGGATTTTGCTTGCAAAGAACTGAAAGACTTCTCATATATGAGTTTGTTCCAAATGCCAGCCTTGATCACTTCATATTTGGTATACTTACTTTCTACCTTCTTCTTCTTCTTCCTTTCACTTTATGCATCACATTGGAAAAGTCTATCTGTTCATATGATTGACACAATCTGTTTTTATATATATGGATGACCATGTAGATCTTGAAAAAAGGAAGTTATTAGATTGAGAAAGACGATCTAAAATCATAAATGGTATTGCACGAGGACTTCTTTACCTTCATGAAGATTCTCGTCTTCGAATCATACACCGTGACCTTAAAGCTAGTAATATTTTGTTGGATGAAGAAATGAATCCAAAGATTGCTGATTTTGGTATGGCTAGCTTGTTCGAAGTAGATGAGACTCAAGGCAATACAAGTAGAATTGTGGGAACTTAAGTCGAAATACAAATTCATTTTTTATAGTGCAATCATCCTCGTGCAATGTATTTAAAAAAAAATAATTTATTGTGTTATTATTATTATTATTATTTTGCTGGCTATATGGCTCCAATAGTATGTAATGCATGGACAATTTTTAATAAAATCTGATGTCTTCAGTTTTGGTGTTTTGGTTCTTGAGATTTTGAGCGGTAAGAATAACAATTATTTACAAGAGGGAGAAAATGTCGAAGATCTCATCAGTTTTGTAAATATATGATTTTAAATCTACGTGCATGAAAATGCTTCAAGCAGTTATCAATAGTGTATGTTCTCCAAGTGCTAATTATTGGGTGAACATTGTGGATTTTCTTATAGGTATGGACAAACGGGAGCGTAGGAACGGCTACAAATATCATAGATTCAACTCTTAGAGTTGGTTCAAAGATTGAGATGATAAGATGCATTCACATTGGACTATTATGGGTTCAAGAAAATGTAAGCAATCGGCCAACAATTAGATCAGTGGTTATGATGCAAGGTAGTTCTTCTCTCACTCTCCCGATACCTTATCAACCAGCATTCTTCGTGGATAGTGCCACCAATGACTTCAACATTGATGGAATTAGTTGCGAATGTGTGTCCATTCAACTTTCGAGGAGTGACATTTCAATTACGGAGTTCCATCCATGTTATCCTTGGATTATCATCACCCACCTATGTTAGTTGCTTCCTTCAAAGAGTTTACAAAGAACTACTCATTTGCGTGCAATAGGTCAAAGTCTTGTCTTAATCATTGTCTTAGATTCCAATTAATGAGAGTAACTACTTCAGTGTGTTCCATCCATCCAAACAAATCTTAAGACATTAAATTGCTAAGCATCACTTAGCTATTAGCCATTCGAGTTTTGGTGCAATGTCTTAACTCAGAGTTCCGATCGACTAAATTATTCTAAATTTAATAATATAAATTTTAAATGGTTATATTTATAGGACTGTTTATAGACGAAAAGTATTATTAATCTAAACCTGTTACGGCTCAAAATTTACAATAAACCATGACTCAAAACGACAATATGAATGTAGTGTGAAGGCAAGAAATATTTGAAAAGACATCAAAAAGGAAAATCATTTATTTCAATAGAAGAAAATTTCACTACAATGAATAAAAAATAAAATAAAAAATCGAATTGACGTCGTGGGATATGCTTTCCTTTGTAACAATCCATGTCTCTCAAACACGCCCTCTCCCGACTCGTAGCATCACGCACCTAAAAAGGAAAATATATCAAGGATGAATATAAAAATTATACTCTACCTATCTGTAGACTCTCATCGCGTTCATGTATGGATTGTCATTTATTTGATGCATAATTCTTCTTAGTTCACCTTCAATTTTGATATATGAATGATTTATGTATGACATTAATATCTTTAAGTGTCGTTTTGTATTGTTAAGTGACAAAGGAAAGCATATCCCGATGTATTGTTAAGTGCCTATATAAAAGATTGTCTAGGATGGTTGAGATATATAGAGTTTGATTAGATTTAAGTGTCGTTTTGTATTGTTAAGTGACATTTGGGACCCAGAACTACATAAATCTTTATCTATTTGTTTAATTTTTATTTGTGTGGGCTCGATCTGAGTTGGTTCCTAGTCCATCGTCACTTGTGAGATGAGAATAAGTTATGAGAAATTAAAGACCAATTAAAGTTAGACACGACAAGAGGAAGTAAATTTACGACCAAACGGGTCATTGTAAAAGTAAAATAATTGCCGTAGCAAACAATTTCCCTAGCGTGGTTGAACAGTTGAAGATCATGACTGAGTCAACAGACGAGGAAATGGGCTCTCTAACTCAATACGGCACGACTTGTGTTTAATACGGTCCAGATCCCGGAAGACCGTGGACTTGCGCGAGGAAGAAGACGATGGGCAAGTTTCTGAGCTACATGGACCCACTTAACCGTATAACTAGATAGAAGCTGTGGTAGACGATTGTGTGGAGAGATACCCCGTTCCCTCTAAGGTCGTTGAAGATTGACCGGCGGACGCCGGAAAGCCAATCGGAAAGAATGGAGGTTTCGACGGTTGAGGAAGAGGAATCGATTTGCTTCCAAGCATTAGAACGACCATTGACATGGTCGGTCTGATGTTAGGGTCTTCTTGTACGCACAGGAGCCCGATTTGGATCCATCTTAGAGCTTCGCTTAAAGAACAATCTCCAACCAGGTTCGGATCAACCATTTCCTCTTCTCTGCCTTCCTTCCATAGTTGCCATGCCTGATTTTGTTCAATTCATGTGTATTGTAAAAATCTTGCCCACCAAAAACAAAACCAAAGAATTTGCCAAGAATCTTTACTTGTGATAGAAGGCTTTGTGCATTGTCTACTTTGAAGAAACCGCTGTTCTTTCTCCCGCTTATCACTTCTAGCATTAAGATTCCAAAGCTATAAACATCCGATTTTACAGAAAACACTCCCTCCATTGCATATTCTGGTGCCATGTATCCACTGTAGAAGTGATTAGAATGACAAGATTAGATGCAATTACTCACAAAATGCTGATACATATTGATATTGTTTTATGCTTAATGACTTACAAAGTGCCAACAACCCTGTTGGTGCTAGCCTCAACTTGCTTGCCTCCGAATATTCTAGCCGTTCCAAAGTCTGATATCTTTGCATTCATCTCATCATCCAACAACACATTGCTAGCTTTTAAATCCCGATGAACGATTTTGAGCCGAGAGTCTTCATGCAGATATAGAATTCCTTTTGCAACTCCATTGATGATGTTGTTGCGCTTAAGCCAATCGAGTTGTTTGCATTTAACTGGATCTGCATTGCAGAATGAAGAATAGGAGATGAATTTTCCTGATAATTATTAACCTTTGTGTTTGACTCCAATGGAGCAAAAAGCATATATATGAAGAATGGAAAGTAAACTGACCAAATAATAAGGCATCTAGACTAGTGTTTGCCATGTACTCATATACAAGGAGCATTTCCTCTCCCTCCAGACAGCATCCCAAAAGCTTGACCAGATTTTTGTGTTGAAGCTTCATTATGACCATGACTTCATTCTTGAACTCATCATGACCTTGGCTTGACTTCACTGACAGTCTTTTTACAGCTATTTCTTCCCCATTCATCAGCTTTCCCTGGATGAATTGAAAACTTAGGAAACAGAAAGAAAGCAGCAAATAGCACAGGGATAACTTGCCGTTGTAACAGCCCAAGCCCAAGCCCACCGCAGATACTGTCCTGTTAGGGAGAGATTTCCACACTCTTATAAAGAATGTTTCATTCTCCTCTCCAACGGATGTAGGATCTCACAGTAGTTATGAACAAAGGACCAGATAATTGTTCTTTGTCATATGTACATCATGCTACTTCTTAAGCTCATATTAGTATCGTTAAACCATTTCGACATATTTAATCTTAGGATTCAATAGTTAACCTTGAAAACCGGGCCAAACCCGCCTTCTCCAAGTCTATTTGCATCTGCAAAGTTGTTTGTGGCAGCCTGTAGGGTGATGAAACTGAAGTAATGCATCTCTTCATCATTGTCTCCATCTCTTGAATGCAAATCTTGCTTCATCAATTCTGCAGACTTAACATCTCCCAAATTTCGCAACAGAACTTGTTCACCTGTGTCCATCTCTGGATCTATGAATTTGATATCATAATATTTTATTTGAATCAAAGCTTTGTAAGTGCAATCTAAACGTAAAATCTTTGATTTTCTTACGTTGTCTTCTCTTCTTTGACAGAAGTATGTTGAAATATCATCACTAGCCCAATAGAGTCAAGCCCAATAATTGTACTAGCCCAATAGAGTCAAGCCTAATTGTACGAGCCCAGTATATTTATTTTAGTAGAGATTTTAGGAGAAAGAGATGTAGATATTTTAGGAGAAAGATTCAATTTGTTAGGTCTAGATTCAAATCGGTTAGGTCTAGATTTAGATTGGTTAAATATAGATTGTTTACTCTTAGTATAAATACCCCCACCCTACCTAGGTTATTCATCCAAGAAATCTAAAAACAATAAAAAGCAGAAGTATTCTACAGAGTGTCTTGTATTCTCTTCTCGATTGGTCTTAATAAAGAGAGCGAGTGTTTCCCACAGTGAGTTGTGTTCAACATTTGGTATCAGAGCGAGGTTAGTGTAGGTTATCTGATCTCTTGGAATCCTTAGTATGCTCTGTGGTTGCAGCTCTGCCTGATCTTCCACATCAGAAACGATTTCTTGAGATTAGTGGTGAGTGAGTTTCTTTTGTGTCGTGAGAAGTCTGTGACTCTGCAAGTCTTGTGTCAAAAGAACTTGTTTGGTATTACTGAGGTATGGCCAACACGATGAGTGATTTCCAAATCGTTGGAGGAATTAAGAAACTCAACAACAACAACTACAACACGTGGGCAACATGCATGATGTCCTATTTACAAGGACAGGATCTTTGGGAGATCGTTGGCGGGTGTGAAACTACGCCGCCAGAGGAGGATTCTAACGACGCCTTGCGCAAATGGAGAATCAAAGCAGGCAAAGCAATGTTTGCCTTGAAGACCACCATCGGAGAAGAGATGTTAGAACATATTTGGGATGACAAGACACCGAAAGAAGCATGGGACACATTCGTGATGTTGTTCTCAAAGAAGAATGATACGAGACTACAACTTCTGGAGAATGAGTTGTTGTCAATTTCACAACGTGATATGACGATTGCTCAGTACTTCCACAAGGTCAAATCGATCTGTCGGGAGATTACTGAACTAGACCCAAAGTCCGCCATTGTAGAATCTCGAATGAAGAGGATTATAATCCACGGATTGCGACCAGAATATCGAAGCTTCATTGCTGCTGTACAAGGATGGCCCACTCAACCATCACTGGTAGAGTTCGAAAATTTGTTAGCCAGCCAAGAAGCCATGGCTAAACAAATGGGAGGCTTCACGTTGAAGGGTGAAGAAGCACTCTACACGAGTGAAAGTCAGAGCAATAATAGGCCGTCTACCAGACGTGGATACAATGGTGACAAAAGAAGAAGCCACCAAGGGATTGCACAACCTGAGAGAGCTCAGAAGAACGACAACAAGAGTTTTCAAAGAACGAGATTTGGTGGTATTTGCTATAACTGCGGGAAAAAGGGCCATATGTCTAGAGATTGTTGGTCCAGGAAAAAGACCATTGAAAACAATGTGGCAATATCCAAAAAGAAGATAGAAGATGAATGGGATGCAGAGGTACTATGTCCCATAGAAGAAGACGAGCTAGCACTCATGGCGACAATGGAAGACCATATCAACTATGAGAATGACTGGATCGTTGATTCAGGATGTTCAAATCACATGACTGGCGATCAGAGAAAATTGCAAGACAAGAAAGAGTACAAAGGAAGTCGTATGGTACGTACAGCAAATAACACACAGTTATCAATTGCTCAAATCGGCAATACGACAATCATGCCTGGCAATAAGTCTGATACAGTGTCGCTACATAATGTTTATCATGTACCGGGTATAAAGAAGAACTTGTTGTCAGTGTCACAACTAACAACATCAGGAAGCTATGTCTTGTTTGGGCCAGAAGATGTAAAAGTTTATCAAGATGTTAAGATAATAGGAAAGCCGACGATAGAAGGACGAAGAGTGGAGTCTGTCTACGTTCTATCTGCAGAGTCTGCCTATGTTGACAAGACCCGAAAGAATGAGACGACAGATCTATGGCATGCAAGATTGGGACATATTAGCTACCATAAGTTGAAGCTGATTATGGAGAAATCTATGCTCAAAGGTCTACCACAACTGGAAGTCAAAACAGACGTTGTCTGCGCTGGATGTCAGTATGGTAAAGCTCATCAATTACCATACAAAGAGTCAAGTTTCAAAGCAAAGAAACCATTAGAGTTAGTTCACTCTGATTTGTTCGGCCCAGTCAAACAAGCATCGATCAGCGGAATGCGGTATATGGTGACATTTATTGACGACTACTCAAGATATGTGTGGATTTTCTTTATGAAAGAAAAGTCTGACACGTTCTCAAAGTTTCAAGAATTCAAGATGATGGTCGAAGGAGAAGTAGGAGCGAAGATTCGTTGTCTACGTTCAGACAATGGCGGAGAATACACGTCAGATGAGTTCGATCAATATTTACACGAGTGTGGGATACGACGTCAATTTACATGTGCCAACACGCCACAACAAAATGGTGTAGCAGAAAGAAAGAATCGACACCTTGCAGAAACCTGTCGAAGCATGTTACACGCAAAGAACGTTCCAGGAAGATTTTGGGCTGAAGCTATGCGAACTGCTGCCCATGTGATCAACAAGCTTCCTCAACCAAAGCTAGGGTTCGTCTCACCATTTGAGATACTATGGGATATGAAACCTACAATTAGTTACTTCCGAGTATTTGGCTGTGTTTGCTATGTATTTGTGCCTGACCATCTACGTAGCAAGTTTGACAAGAAAGCAGTCAAGTGTGTATTTGTTGGATACGACAATCAAAGAAAAGGATGGAGGTGCTGTGATCCAACAAGTGGAAAATACTATACATCAAGAGATGTAGTTTTTGATGAAGCATCTACATGGTGGTCCTCGGAGAAGAAAGTCTTATCAGATTCAAACATTGAAGAAATTCTACAACAGAAGCTGGGGGAGCAAACTACACAAATTCAATCAAATTTCGATGCATCTGAAAGTCCAAGCGACATTGATATTGACAAGCAGGAGGTGACTCAATCAAGCGAATCTGATAAAAATGAAACAACACATCAACAACTTAGGCGATCAAATAGAATCCGAAGGCCAAATCCTAAGTATGCAAATGCAGCTATTGTAGAAGATAGAGTTTACGAACCAGAGACATATGAAGAAGCATCACAAAACTCGGTTTGGCAGAAAGCGATGGAGGAAGAAATTATAGCCTTGGAGCATAATCAAACTTGGGAACTAGTGCCAAGACTAGGAGATATCAAACCCGTCTCTTGCAAGTGGGTCTATAAAATAAAGCGTCGACCGGATGGATCAATCGAGAGATACAAGGCTCGACTCGTGGCTCGAGGATTTTCTCAACAATATGGACTAGATTATGATGAAACATTCAGTCCAGTGGCAAAGATTACTACCGTACGAGTTCTGCTAGCACTCGCAGCAAGTAAAGATTGGAAACTGTGGCAAATGGATGTGAAGAATGCCTTCTTGCACGGAGAGCTAGACAGGGAGATTTATATGAACCAACCAAAGGGATTTGAGAGTGCAGCTAATCCTAATTATGTATGCAAGCTTAGAAAAGCTCTTTATGGACTGAAACAAGCACCGAGAGCTTGGTATGGTAAGATTGCTGAATTTCTTACCCAAAGTGGTTATTCAGTTGCGCATGCAGACTCAAGCCTATTCATCAAAGAAAGAGAAGGAAATTTGACAATTGTGTTGGTCTACGTGGACGATTTGATTATCACCGGGGACGATGAAAGAGAAATTTATCAAACAAGAGAAAATTTATCAATACGCTTTCAGATGAAAGAGCTAGGAGAGCTTAAACACTTCTTAGGCCTAGAAGTTGATCGCACAGATGAAGGACTGTTTCTCTGCCAACAAAAGTATACCAGAGACATGCTTCAGAAGTTCAACATGTTAGAGTGCAAGCAAGTTTCAACACCGATGGAGATAAATGCCAAGATTTGTGCACATGAAGGCAAAGAGTTGAACGATGAAACAACGTACCGACAACTAGTAGGTAGTCTTATCTACCTAACTTTAACTCGACCTGATATCTCGTATGCAGTTGGGGTTATGAGTCGATACATGCAAAGTCCAAAGAAGCCTCATCTGGATGCAGCTCGACGGATCTTGAGATATATCAAAGGTACAATCGACTATGGTCTTTTGTACAAAAGAAGCAAAGACTGCAAGCTAGTTGGATACTGTGATGCTGACTATGCAGGAGACCACGATACTCGGAGGTCAACCACTGCGTATGTGTTCAAGTTTGGTTCGGGAACAATTTCTTGGTGTAGCAAGAGACAACCAACAGTATCATTATCAACTACAGAAGCAGAGTATAGAGCAGCGGCTGGAGCAGCCCAGGAAAGTACATGGCTAAAACTCTTGATGGAAGATTTGCACCAGAAAATTGACTATCCAATATCACTTCTTTGCGACAACCAATCTGCGATTCGCCTTGCAGAAAATCCAGTGTTTCATGCTAGAACAAAGCATGTGGAGGTGCACTACCATTTCATTAGAGAGAAGGTCCTAAAGGAAGAAATTGAGATGCAGCAGATCAAGACAGATGACCAAGTGGCAGACTTGTTTACAAAAGGGTTGAATACTAGCAAACATGAGAGCTTTCGCTGTCAGCTCAACATGATGCAGCGAATGAGGACTAGTGCTGAGGGGGAGTGTTGAAATATCATCACTAGCCCAATAGAGTCAAGCCCAATAATTGTACTAGCCCAATAGAGTCAAGCCTAATTGTACGAGCCCAGTATATTTATTTTAGTAGAGATTTTAGGAGAAAGAGATGTAGATATTTTAGGAGAAAGATTCAATTTGTTAGGTCTAGATTCAAATCGGTTAGGTCTAGATTTAGATTGGTTAAATATAGATTGTTTACTCTTAGTATAAATACCCCCACCCTACCTAGGTTATTCATCCAAGAAATCTAAAAACAATAAAAAGCAGAAGTATTCTACAGAGTGTCTTGTATTCTCTTCTCGATTGGTCTTAATAAAGAGAGCGAGTGTTTCCCACAGTGAGTTGTGTTCAACAAAGTAAACAACACAACAGACTTGCAAGAAATGCTACTGCTGCAACTGTTGATATAATGATTACTGCAATCATTTTCGCGCTCAATCCTGTTTGGTTTAGTATAAAATTATAAGATGTTGAAGAATTTAGCATAAAATGAAACAAAACAACTTATAAGATTTGAATCACCTTGAGGCGAAGCTGATTGAGAATAGAAAAGATATTTCTCATACGTTATGCTACAACTTGGGCTCAAAATTCTCCACCCCACTCTCCCTTTGTAAACCTGCCCGATCTCCTCCAACAGAGCCATCAAACATTTATAACACGCGCTACTGTTGAGATCCCTTGTGCACTGAACCAATCCATAGCCTGTTCCATGCAACTTGTTTGCCTTGTACATCATCGGTAACACCGAGGCTTCACTGACCATCTGAGACAACAGAGCAGACCCATCAATATTACTATCATCTGGCGATGTCTGGTTCCCTGAATCGCCCATGAGGAATCTCGGGGAGATCTCTACGGTTCCGAAGAAGTTCTTGTCTGAGTATCTAAGCATGCATTCATCGTACCATATTGTGGCGTTTACTCTTAGAGGGCATCGATCCCTCACATCTATGCTTGCGGTACTGACACAACTGTGACAGTAATCGTTGGGAATATCTCCACGACAGAGTACGAGGCCGTACATTCCATTGAAAGTTCTATTGTAGAAGCTGTCGGAGGAAGCTTCGGATAAAGAACCCAGTATACCAATGAGATCCGAACCCAGATTAGAGTTGGTTGTGATATTACTTGGCGTTGAACAGATGTGGAACCTATATCTTGGTTCGAAATGATGGGAGAGGCTAATCCCAAAGATTGAAATCAGAAGTAGCAACGAAACTGGCGAAGATCTGTAATTGAGGAAACAGAACATGATTTGGGTTTGGTGTAGCAGATAAAGAGACGAACTTCTTCTTGAAGAAATAAGAACAGACGATTGAAATATCTGTTGTACCTTTCATTGTACAATTATTCAGAAGAAACTGTTTGGAGCCACTTGTTTCGATGTAATTTTCAGCATTTATTTGCAGGTAGCAAAGACAGAGTCACAATTTGACAGAGTCACAGAACATCGTGTCTTGGCATATTCTGTTGGGTTTGATACAAATTTGAATATTCAAAGTGGTTGAGCTCATTAAATACTCCAAGAAAGCAAGTACGTGTCACAATTCAAGATGAGCAGAACATCTGGGATTTTACCAATTCACTGAGGTTTCTTCAAGCAGAGTAGAAGATAACTTTGTAATCAGAGAGAAGACGATGATGAACACAACTAACACTCAGAAAACTGGCACTCCACTCATTAATTTACATTCAGTTGCGTTGCTCTTGAGTCTTATATGCAATGATTTTCATGGGCTTGAAGCTATTTTTAACAAGCTGTGATCTTTCAGATTGACAGAGTTGCATTATCCAACGCAGGGCGCGAAGTATTGCTGCGGTTCTTGCTTTAACCGGTCTGCCGGTATTTTGATATCAACTAAATCACTTAAATTTATTGTTAGTTAAATATCTTTTCTTTTAAGAGAAAGCTTTCTTTGGCGATGAATTTACACCGTATTACCATAGCTAGTAGATACGGTCAGCTTGTTTACTTTGACTCATTACATATTGTTGTAGCTTAATAATTTTAAAATGCGCTTATTAGAGCGAGGTTTTTACACTTTAATGAATAATGTTTTGTTCCTCTCTCCGATCGACTTGCGACATCTTTAATTTTCAAAATTTTACAATCTTACTCCTATGTTCTGAATCTAGTTTTCATTTAGTTTTGAATTTTAAAATGTTACTTAATTTTAAGTTTAGTTAGTATGTTTTAAAATGTTAGGTCGAATTTAATATCGCTCAATTATTATTGTCATTTATTTATTTTTAAGTAATACATATATTTAGTCAAAAACTTATATTTTATTATAGAGAGGGTCTAGCCCTTTTTCGACTAGTATCTCGCACCGTCTAGTGACTAGCTCTAATATCATTTGTAATAGCTAAGTTCATTATTAGTAGATGCTGTCCACTTCGACTCATTATGTAGCATTTTAAAACTTTGAGAAGAAACCCAAAAGAGGGCATTATCTGTAAAACGAAGGTTCATTTAAACCATGTACAAGAATCTAGGACGAAAACAAAAAAAAAAAACTAAATAAAGTGCATCATAAAATTGAATGAATGCAGTGGCTAGATAGAAGCAGTAGTAGACGACTGATCTGTGGTGAGTAGCCCTGTCCCTGTTTCAGTTGATGAATATTGATATCTACTGAGAGACCCTCGACCTGTAAGAAATGGAGGTTTTGAGGGCTGAGGAAGGTGAACCGACTGGCTTCCAAGCATTAGAACAACCATTGACATGGTGGGTCTGGTGTTAGCATCTTCTTGCACGCACAGCAAGCCAATCTGGATCCATTTTACGGCCTCACTCTCACGATAATCTCCAGCCAGGTTCTCATCTATCATTTCTTCTGCTCTACCTTCATTCCATAGCTCCCATGCCTGTTAAGTTGTTATCTTGTTAAACAACCATCACAAAACTGAGAGGGAGACACTTTTTTTTTTTTTTTTATAAAGAACAGAAGCATACATACATATGACAGAAGGTTCTGCGCTCTGTCCATGTTTAGAAAACCAATGCTCTTTCTCCCACTGATCACCTCCAGGATTAGAACTCCAAAACTGTATACATCGGATTTAACTGAGAAAACTCCCTCCATAGCATACTCTGGCGCCATATACCCACTATAGCATTGCCAATTACAACCAATGAGCAACGAGGATATGAAAGACAATGATTAATAATACAGTATAGAAGGTAATGATAAAGATTTATGTATTCCTAAGTTTACATGCTATCTAGAAACTCTGGTACGAATGGATATAGATGTGCTGTAAATGACTTACTATGTTCCAACTATTCTATTGGTGCTGGCATCCATTTGCTTGCCTCCAAATATCCTAGCAGTTCCAAAATCTGATATTTTTGGATTCATCTCCTCATCTAACAGTACATTACTCACTTTCAAATCCCTATGGATGATTTTGAGTCGAGAATCTTCATGGAGATACAGAATTCCTCTTGCAATCCCATTGAGAATGTTTTCGCGCTTGAGCCAGTCGAGTTGTTTGCACTTCAATGGATCTGCTAGTGCAATTAGATCAGTAAAACCATGACATGGATTGTAGTGTATGGATGATGAAAACGAGATTATAGGAGAGAAAGAGAGCTAACCAAACAAGAAAGCATCAAGACTTGTATTTGCCATGTACTCATAGATTAGAAGTTTTTCTTCTCCTTCCACACAATATCCCAGTAGTCTAACCAGATTCTTATGTTGAAGCTTCCAGATGACCTTTGCTTCATTCTTGAACTCTTCGTATCCTTGATTTGATTTTGTTGATAGTCTTTTCACAGCTACTTCCTCACCATCCATCAGCTTTCCCTAAATTCCAATAAATGAACATATTGTCATATAGTGATTCTAACACTTTTTACACGCACGTCACATCTCAAACAAAACCCACCGCTAGCAGATATTGTCCTTTTTTGAACTTTCTCTCAAGGTTTTTAAAACGTGTCTGCTAGGGAGAAGTTTCCACACCCTTATAACGAATGTTTTGTTCTCCTATCCAACCGATGTGAAATCTCACAATCCACCCACCTTGGAGGCCAGCATCCTCGCTGGCACACCGTCTAGTGTTTGACTCTAATACCATTTGTAACAACCCAAGCCCACTGCTAACAAATATTGTCCTCTTTAAGCTTTCCCTTTCAGGCTTCCTCTCAAGGTTTTAAAAATGTGTCTGTTAGGGAGAAGTTTCCACAACCTTATAAGGAATGCTTTGTTGCTCTCTCCAACCAACGTGGGATCTCACAATCCACCCCCTTGGACGCTTAACGTCCTTGTTGGCACACTACCCAGTGTCTGGCTCTGATACCATTTGTAACAACCCAAGCTCACTGTTAGCAGATATTGTCCTCTTTGGGTTTTCCCTTTCGAACTTCCCCTCAAGATTTGTAAAACGCGTCTACTAGGTAGAGGTTTCAACATCCTTATAAGGAATGTTTCATTCCCCTCTTCAACCGATGTAGGATCTCACAATTAACCTTGTAAACTGGACCAAACCCGCCTTCTCCAAGTTTATTAGCATCTGAGAAGTCATCTGTAGCATTCTTTAGAGAACTAAAACTGAAGAAAGGCATATCTCCATCACTGTCTTGATTTGATGCATCCAAATGTTGTCTCAATGAGTAAACCAGTTGTTGATCAACTCGATTTCGCAAAGGAAGCTCTTCACTTCTATCCCTCTCTGAATGAAAAGCCATGTTTCTTGTTATGTGATATTAATCGAAATCCTACTACAAGTACATTGTTTATGCAAAGGGTTTAGTCTTCTTACCCCTTTTGTTTCTCCATAAAAATGAGGCATAAATCATTCCTAGCAGAACTGCCGCTGCTGCAACTGTTGATATGCTGATGACAATGATCCTTGTTCTGTTGCCTCCTGTGCATTCCCTTTTATCATTAGATCAAAACCTTTGAAAATTGATGAGGGTCAAGAAAACAAAATCAATGTCGTCACCTTACCTTCTTCATCAAGATTCAAGGATGGAGGTCTTGGTATCCCATAAAACTGAAAGGCCTCAACCCTTAAATTACAATTGGGAGCTAAAACTCGCCACCCTCTTTGTCTTAAGCAACATCCCTTTGCAAAAGTCACCAAATTTGTCAAACAGACCTCACAATCACGCTTGATGATATCTCTTGTACACTGTGCCAGTCCAAATCTCTGATCCACACCACCCACATTTACCTCACCTTCCTTGAACATCATATTTGCATTTGCAGCATCTTGTGCTAAATTAGACACCAATGCAAGATCAATGAAATCACGGTCTTCAATAGTAGATTGGTTCAGACTATTATATAACACTATTCTTGGAACTGTTTCCAAGATCCCAAAGAAGTTCACAACTGAGTATCTCAACATACATTCATCAAAGCCTATGGTACCATTTGTTTGTGATGAGCAGGTGACTTTGATTTGTTGACTTGCTCCTTCGATGCAGGTATGACAGGCCTCATTAGGAATATCCCCTCGGCAGAGAAAGAGGCCATGGATTCCATTATAGGTCTCAGTGTAAAAAGTGTGAGAGGAAGCTCGAGAGGTCAAGGAATTCAGTAGGAAGTTGATGCCAGAATTCAGATTTGGGCGAGCCGTGTTGGTTCCTGAGCAGTTTAAATAGCGTTGGCTACAACAAGGGACTATTAGTCCAGAGATTGAAATCAGTAGTAAAATTGAAGGCAAGGACGGTGTTTGAGGGAAGAAATGAATCATGGTTTTTTAGTTTTGGGGTAGCACAAAGAAGAATGAAACAAAGATGATGAGTTGAGGGGTATTTGTATATATAGAAATGAAGACATTTTGTCCAAAATATTTTGGGTTCTTCAACTTCAACCAAAACGCTGGTGAAAGTGGAAGTAAGATCAACACCTAACCTGCCCATCATTTGAAAGTTTCAGAATTACTGTTTGTAGCGAAAGAAAATTATTACCTTCTCAAACCCAAATAGTCGTTGCATGTGTTAAGACGAAAGTTTCTGGATTAGTACTAATTTGACTTGTTCAGCTCGTTTTTTCTTCCTTATAACTCGTCAATGATTATGTTGTTGAATAAAAAATGAATCCAGATTGGTTTTGTGAATGTGCCCAGCAGCTTAAATCTTTTGTTGAGTCTAGATGAACAGATATTTGGAAGAGTCCAAAACTGCCCCTGTGGGGAGTGGTTGTGTGTGGGGAGTGTTGGATGATGAAAGTCTCACATCGGCTAATTTAGGAATGATCATGGGTTTATAATTAAGGAATACTTTCTCCATTGGTATGAGGCCTTTTGGAGAAGCCCAAAGCAAGAGCTTATGCGTGGACAATATTATGCTATTATGGAGAGTTGTGTTCATCTAACATGAAGATGAGTTTGGAAAAAGGGATCTTTGTAACATTTAAAAGAAGGGAAAAAAATGCAGGAGCTTTAGATAGACGGACGACTTTTATCAGAACTCTTCAGCCAAGCTATCCTCTATTACAAGTCAAACGGGGATCGTGAAGAACTTAGGGGATTGTTGTTTGTTGTTTTCTTGATTGTTGAAGGGTTTTCTAGAGCTGGCAAGAAAGTTTCTGAAGCTAGGATTCTAGTAGATGATTGTTGAAGCCTCTCCTTAAATGTATTTTAAAAACTATGAGGCTGATGATTACACGAAACGGGCAAAAGCAGACAATATTTGCTAGCAGTGGGCTTGGACTGTTACAAATGATATCAATGATAGACACCAAATGATGGGTCTGGACTGTTACAAATGGTATCATAACCAAACACCGAATGATCTGGTAGCGAGGATGCTGGCTCCTAAGGAAGTGGATTGTGAGATTCCACATCGGTTGTAGAGGGAAACAAAACATTCATTATAAGGTGTGGAAAACTCTCCCTAGAAGACATGTCTTAACAATCGTGAGGTTGACGGTTATACGTAACAAACCAAAGCGGATAATACCTGCTAGCAGTGGGCATGACTCTCACGTTGTCAACCGCTTGACAATGAAGAGTCTTGTGCCCATTATTTTTATCAAATTCTTATGTTGTTTTATTAAGATTGAGAAAAAACTGAGCTTTCTGAGTTGGTTGGAAATTCAATCTGCAATTTATTAAGCTTGCCTGATAACGGCGGATGTTATGCACTATTCAGAATTCATTAATAAAGTAGTTCATACAATAAAACTTCTATTAAAATAAAGGAAAGTCGTAAGCCGAAGCTCAGAAGTTAAAGCATTCTTCATTGGTGGAAAGATAAGCCAACGACCTTCATTACGCTCATTAAAAGGGAAGCTCCTATATGTCATGGTTTTCTGTAACTCTCCTGTTGTTATAGCGAACATTATATGGCATTCTTTCTTCATTTTGCCTTGTTTTTCTTTGCCAGAATTTGTGCTACTCAGCCAGTCTTTGTCAACCATGTCTGCATGTATCAAGTAGGGAACTTCACCAGCAACAGCACCTACAAGACCAACCTCGATCATGTACTCTCTTCCATTGCCACTGCCAAAGATAGTGGCAATGGCTTTTACAATTTTTCCTATGGTCAAAGCTCAGAATGAACCAATGCCATGGCGCTCTGCCGAGGAGATACGAAGCCTGATGTTTGTCGAAGCTGCCTCAACGACTCTATATATTTTCTCACACGGCTATGTCCTAAGCAGAAGGAAGCTATTGGGTGGTATGATAACTGTATGTTGCGCTATTCAAGTCGTCGCATGTTTGGCACAATGGAAGCTGAACCCATGTACATAGCGTTGATGAAAAACGACAGTGTCATAAAGGAAGATCTGTTCAAGCACAACCTGAGGACATTGCTGTATAGCTTGAAAGATAATGCTTCTTCAGGTGATTCTTTACGAAAGTATGCAGCTGGAGATATATTTGGAGAAGGGTTGGGGAGAATATATGCACTTCTGCAGTGCACACCTGATTTGTTTCAAATTGAATGTGATGCTTGCTTAGATTCAGCGATCCAAAAAATTCCAGCATGTTGTAGCGTAGCTTGGAGACTTTTTTCACCCAGCTGTAACGTTAGATATCAGATGTCCCCCTTCTTTGATCCTCTACTGGTTTCACCACCACTGCCGCTAGTTTTTGTTCCATCTAGCAATGCCACGTCTTCAGAAGGTTCGGTTTATGATTATGTTCCATAATTTTTGAACATACAAAAAGTCAAATAGTTATCAAACGAGTCTTATTGATGTTGTTTGTTTTCAGACAAGAAGAAGAACGTCGTACGCACGACCATTGTAATAGTTCTACCGTTTGTGGCTGTTTCGGTTTTCGCCATTGGCATCTACACGTTTTTGCGATCCAGAAAGTTGAGTGGAAGAGTTGAGAGTAAGATCACATTATCTTCTTCAAAACCCAAGTTTTTCTTTTTAAAATTATGATCTTGATAGAGTGAATTTCTGCTAAATTGCTAATTCTATGTCACCTCACGACTTGTGAAGCTACTGATCATGATGACATTAGCCCTGTGAATTTCTTGCAATATGATTTCAAGACGATTAGAGATGCAACAGATGACTTTGCTATCTCAAATAAACAACTTGGGGAAGGTGGATTTGGTGCTGTTTATAAAGTAATTGAATGAACGCTAGCAGATATCGTCTGCTAGTCTATTATGTATAGTCATCAATCTCATGATTTTAAAACACATTTGTTAGGGAAAGGTTTCCACACCCTTATAAGGAATGCTTCTTTCTGCTTAGGCATAGCCGTTTGAGAAAATATATAGTCATTGAGGCAGCTTCGACAAACATCAGGCTTTATATCCCACATTGGTTGGAGAGGGGAACAAAACATTTCTTATAAGGGTGTGGAAATCTCTCCCTAGTGGCGTTTTAAAACCGTGAGGCTGACGGCTATATGTAATGGGCCAAAACGGACAATAACTACTAGCGGTGAGCTTAAGCTGTACCCGAACCATATTAAAATGACAAAGTATAGCATTTTGTTTCAACAGGGTAGAAGACTTAAAAGGGTTTTTCCTTGTTTATGCATCTTCAGGGTAAGCTTTCGAATGGACAAGAAGTGGCTGTGAAAAGGCTAGCTCAAGGTTCGCAACAGGGTGACTTCGAATTCAAAAATGAAGTCTTACTGGTTGCTAAGCTACAACATCGGAACCTGGTTCGACTTCTTGGCTTTTGCTTTGAGAGAAATGAAAGACTCCTCATCTACGAGCTTTTACTGAACTCAAGCCTAGATCGTTTCATATTTGGTAACCTATTCCCACTTTGTTCTATGTTCTTGGGCATCTTCTCATAAACTCAGCAGCTATATACTTATCAAATGAAAATGCAGATCCAATTCAACGTCGATATTTGGACTGGTCGAGACGTTACAGAATTATAGTTGGCATCAGTCATGGACTTGTGTATTTACACGAAGATTCTCGATTCAAAGTGTGAATGTTTGATTAATCCACCACTCCTAAATGGTGTGAGAGTTATCTTATTTATAATCAAATGAATTACAAGGATATGGAAATAGTAATAAATGGAAATAACAATAAATGGAAAGATACCTATGANATAAAATATCAAATATAATATATATGGTAAACTATAATTTATTACTAAATATCCTTAACACCCCACCGCAAGCTAAGCGTCGGATTTAAACGAACGTGAAGCTTGAATCTGAAAAATTCAAAGAGGTCGAGAAACA